CTGGCAGATTGCGTGGGTGCCCTTGCTTTTCTTGTTTTTTTCGGAATCGAGGCCGGGGTAATCTTGTGACGGTTGGTAGCTGATCGCGCCTTAGCGAGCACGAAAGATAACTGTTGCCATAGCTTCTTTCTTGTTCTTTTTTTTTTTTTCTTTTTTTTTTTTACCAATAAGAAAATTGAGGCCGGGGTCCTCACAGTCTACCTGGAGTGACCGAACCAAACTTGCTGAGAACCGGGCTCAGCGTCCCTCATATGATGATGATGATGATAATAATGATGATGATGATGATGATGATGATGATGATGATGATGAACTCCTGTTGATTCTATGTGAAATGTGAGATAATCATACTAATGATGATGATGCTAATGATGATGATGATAATGATGATGATGATGATTAGTTTATATAAAAAATATATAAGACTATGCTATATCAGCAATTCTGGCCTCCTAATTCTAGAACAACTCCTAGCCCTCCCTGTACCAGGACATTGCAACTCGGAGACAATACCAACCTAACCAACGTCAACCATAGCCAACCTCTTCTCGCCACCTAGACTATCCCCGGCCCCATAGGTTGTCAAGGCAGCCCCCCCCAGTTCGCCACTGGATTTCCTTGATCCCTCAGCAAACCCCAGAGCTCTTTACAAGGCCTCACACTACTGCCATTTGCAGGTTATAGGGCAACACCCCAGCTCCAGCCAGCGTCGTTCTGGCATCGGCAAACCAGGGGCACAGAACAAAGCAACTCTGTAGATATCAGTCCAGGTGGAACCATCTCTGAAATCCTATATCCCGAATGAGGAAGAAGGCCAAATGCTGCCAAAATTTCAGAACACCAGAAAGCTTAATATAACATGATTGAAAACTATGGGAATCTTTTTTTTGTTTTGAGCAAACCGAGTCATCCCTTATACCAAACACACAACCCCAGAGACGATACTTTCCTAACCAATGCCAGTCACAGCTGATGTGATCTTGCCACCAAGACTATACCCGGCCCTTTAGGTTGTCAAGGTTGAGCCCCCCAGTTCGCCACTGGATTGCCTTCCTCCCTCGACTAATCCCTAGATCTCTCTACCAGGCCTCACGCTCCTGCTACCAACAGGTCACAGGACTAACGCCCCGGCACCGGCCAGCGTCGTTCTAGCATCGCCAAACCAAGAGCCCGAAACACATTGGCTTTGCAGACATCTGTCAGGATTCTACCATCTCTAAGACCATGTATTTTATATAAAGGGAAAACCAGATATCGCCTAGGATTACAAAAAAACAGGTAAGCTTGATATAGCATAATTAGTGTTTACACCTAAGATTAGTCTCCTCCCTCCCCTCCTTTCCATCTTGTCCCAATGCTGCATCTGCCGAAACGGATTACCTAGATTGCAGGCAACCCATCACCGCCCGAGCTTGGGACAGTCCCACCTTCTCCACCCTTATCCCACAAAGGCATACAGTTCCCTCCCAAAGTATGCCTCTGCCCACTTTTTCCCTAATCTGCCTCCGCTGGTGTGAGTACCCCCACCCCAACCCTAGAATAAGGCAACCCACTAGTTACTATGTTACACGCCCGGCCGTGGCCGGGGGGTCCAAGTCGGCCGCGGCCTAGGCCGACCAAATGACTTCGGTTCAAGATTTTTTTTTTTTTTCTAATGCATGAAAATATATATATATATATATGGGCGCGTAGGGCTTAAAAAACCCTACACTCCTATTTTTTTTTTTTTGGAATCCGTCTTTGTTTAGGATTTTTAAAAAAATCAAAAACTAAAATCGATTTAAACAAAATTAAAAAATATATATAAAGAAAAACAGGATTTTTTTTTGGTCATTTTTTATCATGAGATATACGGTCCGTGAGTTTACCTGTATTTTTTTGGAAATGAATTTATGTTTTTTTGCAGAAGTATGAGGTGTTTTGAAAAAATGCAGATGCAAAAAAAAAAAAAAAAAAAAAAAAAAAGGGGATTGA